AATGGGACAGAATATCTCTTCTGCTACTTCAAAAAGCATTATTATCCTGGAAATTGCGGTGTCGAAAGATAGTTCAGAATAAGGGATGTCAAATAGAACATTTAAAACACAAGAATTTTATGTAATTTAGTTTTGTGAATACAATATACGTCGTCTAAAAAATGTGTGAACAGCCTCTGTATATGCATATTTTTTAATTAGCTGATTGATTCTAATATTGCACATTCTGTCTAGAAGAGAAATAGACTCTTCATCTGTACCTAAGTTGATAGTGGAAATGAAAAGATAGATTTCCCTATTTCATCAACAGAAAAGTTTTTTTTTTTTTTTTTTTTTTTTTCTTTTTCTGAATATCCAGCTTATTTTGAATATCCTTAGAGATTCTATTTTGTATTTTGTTTGCAGCTTTTGTTAGTTTTTGTCTGAATTCATTCAGTGTTTTTTAAAGAATCCAAATTTGTCCTATTATAGTTTTATGGACACTAAGAGTTGGGGTTTTATTACATTCTTAGTGGGAATCTAAGTAGGACTCTGGTCTTTTTCAATTGAATAAAAGTATAACTGCCAGTTCTTTCAAATTTTCGTATCTCAAAATCTTTATCATTGAATCTTCCAATTTTTTTATTTTTATCTTTTGTTAAGAAAAATATTTCGTAGTAATAAATAAAATTTGTTAAATTAAGAACAAATAAATTGAGCAAATTCCTTTCCACATTTCTAGCGATTTTCAACATATTTTTTCTTATTAAAGTGAATGGTTATTTGTCCTTGGTCTGAATAGCATTAATTTTTTTCCTAAATTATGTTAATTTACTGTAGACATTTATGGAACATTATGAAGATTCAAGCAATGATTAATCAAGTAATATTCATATTTTGTTTCGTCTTAATATATGTTACATTACCAAGTTTAGCTGTGCAATAGTTTGATAAGTAAAAGATTTCTGTCCCAACTCAGGGTTTTTTATTTTGAATAAAAGTGTCACAAAGTTACAAAATAAAATTAACCCAAAGTCATAAGATTTAAAATTTGTAATAAAATATTAATATATTTTGTATACTAATCATGTTATAAATAGTTCAGTAACTCAAATCATGCTTTATAAAATGAATTTAAGTCAATTTGGTGTTTTTTTTTTTTTTTTTTTTTTTTTTTTTTTTATTAAATGGCGGTGTTGTGCAACACAAAATCCTCCTGGAAACTCCTAATTTTTGTGCAAGAACCTCTTGGTTTTCCATTTTCAAGGTTGGCAGCACTGTAAAAGCTATTTGTTTTCAAAATGAAAGAAAGATTTATTTGAAGTATTTTCCATTAGAAACTGTAACATTTACTCATCTATCAGGCAACCAATGGATTGCTTGAAGGAAAAAGTCTGCTTATTTTGAAATAATTCAGTCACTAAGCTAAATTTTGATATTCCATAAAAACTGAAGCTGTCTCAAAAGATTTTTGTGTAGGTAGCCTGAAGAGCATCATCTGGTGTAGGTAGCCTGAAAAGCATCATCTGGTGAATACAGTAGTTGGGGCAAATACATCTAAGCAAAGTGTTCTAGTTTCTTTGACTAATCTTGCAGCATATGGGCAAGAATTGTCATGATGGAAAATTCCTTGCATCTTTTGGCATATTTTAGATACTTTTGTTTCAGTGCATCCTTCAAATTGTTTAACTATTATTTGTAAAATTCATTATTGATTGCCTGACTCATTTGTAACACCTGAAATTTTTTTGGTGGTGCTCCATGCTTTCATGCTCCTTATGTCCATCAAAATCGTTATTTAATTGTTGAAATTATATTTTGCAGGTTGTATTCAATGGAGAGCATGCTCACTATAAATTTCCACCTTGGTATGTTTCTGCTGTGGTGTCCTATGCAGTAAAATTTCTTGCAAAAATCTGGTTTTTGTTTCTTTTTTGATACAAAACTCAATATTTTGTTGAGGTAAAAATGTTAAATAGAAGTCATGTTTTCAAATTTGGCACCAGATTGTACTTACCTCCAAAGTGTACCTAGATTCAGATACATGCCGTTAGTTCTACTAATAACATATATTATAAAAGTTCAGAATCATATTTATATACCCAATACCATCTCACAGAGAAAGTAATTAATAAGAATTTCAACAAGTAAAAGTATTAAAAAAATAATAATAATAAAAAGATTCTATACCAGCTACATAACATATGACATTGAAAATAGCTTGTATTAATTCTAACAAAGCTGCAGATGGTCATAAAAATCTGTTGGGTATACTATAAATTAAATGTATTTTAAATTGGGTATTTATGCATTATCCTGTTGAATGTGAAATTAGAAATTATCATCAAGCAGTGTGGTTTAACATCAATTGTGGATAAGCAGGAAGTAACAACATACTCATAATATTTCAGTTTTATGTAATGTAACTCTAATTGATTCTCGATAAGCAATGTTTTGTTTTGGGGAACAAGGCTATAAATTAATGGTTATTGCTATATTTTTATTTATTTTATTTACTTTTTCGCATTTTGGAAAAAAAATTAAAATTTGAGACCTGTCTTCTACAGAACAGCAATTTATTTTCATTTCATTTTTTTTTCTTTTCATCAAAAAAGTGGATATTAATCGACATGATATGGTCATGCTCATTTGACCAACAAAACAGTAATACATTGGAACATTCACCTGTTGGTAATTTGTACTTATAGCCTACTAAACAATTGTCATTGTTTGTCATTTGTTTCATGATAAACAGAGGGCCTAACAAAATAATAGAATTCAATGAAAGTTTTTTTATGAGGTGAAAATATGGAGCTGGTCAAATACTGATTGTTTATTAAACGAAGAGGTTGATTGGTTGGTTTAGTTGTGGCAAAGCATGCTAAAGCTATCTGCCTACGAGAAGGGTTGCCTTTGTGGGAGATCTCTCTAAAAGAAGCTGGCTCATATTAATACATGGAACAAATCTCGAAAATTCCATGCAACCAGCCCATTTGCCTGGAAATGAAAAAAGATAAAATTAACTAATGTTCAGCAATGTTACTGCTCAGCTGCTATTAAATATAGAAGTGTCAGTCCCTTCAGAATTGTGCAGAAACAATTGTTGCAAGGTTTGATGACAGTCAACTATTACAGGCAATGGACAATATATATAAGCATCTTAAGACAACTTCTTAAAGTATGTATGTGTGTATATATATGAAATAATAGCAAGGAAAAGAGGGAGCACTGTTGATGCATACGTAGATCCATATTGAAGAGGAAGAATTCTGATTGCGTAGTATGCTAATAATAATGACTTAGTAATATCTAAAAAACTTGGCAGTTGAGGCAGTTTTAATTCCATTTTTATTTGCAACTGACTTTTGTGTCCACAGTTTGCTTCGCATTCTAGCCTTGCCTTTTTACAGAATATTTACATTTTTGGTATTATTGCAATAGGAAGCAGCATAGCGAAATTGCATCCAAACAGAGCAGAGACAGCAGCTGAAATCCGTAGTTATGCAAGATGGAAGCACACAAAGAGAAAGGTTTTGGTTTGAGTTTTAAAAGTTTCAGTTTCCAATTATTACATCGTCAGTGCTGCACAGACCATGCAAAATGGAATGATTTAGAAATGATGCAATTGAAAGAAGTTATTATGATTTTTAGAACTGAGAGGGAGAGTAAAAGGGAATTAGGGGTTTATATTATAATCTTGATTCACATATTTTATCTTATATATATATATATTTGAGATGTAGATGAGACCAAATCTGTCTTTAGTCATGTCCGAGAAGACTGTTACTTAGATGACAACTGGTGTGAAAATTACAACTAGCTTGACAGTTAAAACATTTTTATTTTTGCGCAGGAATAACTATTCAGAAATACATTTTCTCTTAAAACTGGTTCAACACTAGGGATGGTAAAGGTTCCCTGCAATTTTGATATATGCAGGTTGCATTTCAGATGGTAAAGAAAGAAGGTGAAGTGAGAGGTGTGGTTTTTTTTTTTTCAAGCAGCAGCAGAGGAGAAAAAGCAATGTTTGCACTTTGGTGCTATTTATAGCCGGAAAGTCATTGTGTTAATCCTGAGCTGCAATTAGGTTAAAGATGTCACGGTGCAGAGAAATTGCAGGGAAAGAGTGATGTAACATGTGGCATGGCGATGAAAAATGGTGCAGAATGTATCTTTGAAATGGAAGTATTTAATTAAAATTTATCAATTTGAAGATCTGTAGCCAGTTAATTCCAACTAAGTGTAATAATTTTGTTTCATATTTTATGTTTTACATATGCTCTTTTAAAGAGAAAAAATAGCTTGGCAAGAGAAAAGCCTTTCAAGAAGAAAGCAGTGTGTTAGCAAAGGAAGAGAAATTTTGGAGAATATTTACAATTGTAATGAGAAAGCAAATCAAGTGCTTCAGGGACATAGAGTTAAGATTTTTATTATGCTCTATCATTTGTTTCATGAACTTTTCTCATATTCAAATGTAAAAAGAACATATAGAAATATAATTTAGGAATAAAAGAAAAAATATTGTACAATAATAAAGCAAACTTTAGAAGCAATGAACATCAAGAATTTTGATTGTGTAGAATGTTGATCTATGTTGAAAGGCAAACTTGGCAGCCCAGGCAAATTCAACAGTCATCATGTAAGATTTTATACATTTAGTAAATGCGAAACTTCTTCAAAGCGTTAACAGGAAGTTCTCTATTTCTTTTTTTTTTAAATGGCTGATTGATGGAACTCAGCTTACATATTTTGCATCTCAGAAGCACAAAGTAGAATTTATATTGGATTTATGCATAGTATTCTCTTAAAAAATGATTTTTTTATTATATAAAATTGGACTATTTCTGAAATGACGCCCTGTTTCCCCATATTTTAATTCTGTGGTTGAAATTATACAAAGGGCATTACGCATAGTATTAGAATGTTTTTTTTAAATTTTGTTTACAATTATAATAAATAAATATGCATAAAATAAATACGAGTTTATTTATTATTTATTTTTTTTTTTTATTTCTATTTAGGATGAAACTTGAAGAGAAAAAGAAAAAAGAAGAAATGAGACTAAAGCGGGAAGAAGAACTGAAAAAAGCAGAAGAGGAAAAAAGGAAAGCTAAGCTAGAAAAAGTAAGACATAGCTGAAATGTTTGTATGTCATTTAAACTTTTTGTAAAATTTAATATAAAATAGTTTTCTATAGAACAAAGTATGAGATCTGGATGTCCAATATCCGGGGTGATCTAAAATCAAGGCCTTAAAGCCACCAAGGTTTCTAAAAATTTATTATTATTTGTATTCTTTACGAATATGTTGAATGGCAACAATTGTTATTAAGTAAATATGCTTTCGTTTTTGCGTAATGTTTAAAATGCAGTATTCTCAGCTTATTTTGATGTTGTTTATGTTATCAGTGCTAATTTAAGGCTACATTTTAACTGAATAAGTAATTGTTTCATTCATCTGGAGAAGTTGTAGTTCTTTTGAGTGATTTGAAAGGCATCCGTAACTTTTTGTTTGCAGTTGTTATTATTATTATTATTATTATTATTATTAATATTTTTGTATGCTTTACGCATGCACATTTGATTCCTTTCCCCGCACATAATACAGATATAGAGAGTTCTTATTGTTAATTTCACTTTGGCACTAAATACCTCGTTATTGAAGAAACAATCAATTAAGCATAAATTTAGGTACTATTTGGTTTTGAGGGCCGTAAAATAATTGCGGCAACTCTAACACAAGAAAGGAAGTATAATAGTAAATAACTATCTAAGGTTGATGTTTTAATTTAGATGAAATGTTAATTTTGTATACTACTTTTTTATTATTATAATTTATATAAAAAAGGCTAAACATGACTGAATGGAAGCATAAGAGTAAATAACTATTTCAGATCATTATATAATTATATAAAAAATTGCTAAACATAACTGAATGGATGTCTGCATTGCTATTTCGTTACCGAGTTATCGCTAAAGCATAATTTCATCTTGTTGGTTGTTAGACATAATTTTCTATAATGAATGATGCCATTTCTATGAAAAAATTCTCAGTAAAGTGCAGAATCACCCACTTATTTGTTTGCCGCTTTTACAAGGGTAAAAGCAATTGGTTTTTTCAATTTTCTTTTACTTTTTAAGTGAAAATAGGTCGATGTGTACATAGATAAAGTGAAGGGTGTGCGCAGTGTCATTTTTGTGCAATTCTGGGATTTTTTTTTCAAGTGAAAATAGGCCGATGTGTACATGGATACCGAGTATGTGCAATTCTTAAAAACGTGTCAAGCAGTGGGTGATTCTGCACTTTACTCAAAATTCTATTGCAGACTTTTCATCATGGGCAATTCCCAAATTGTTAAATCCATAGGATATCAAAAAAGAATTTAAAAATTAAACTAGTATTTCAATGGTGTCTCAAGAAATATAGAACTATATAAACTTACGCAATCTGAAATCAGCCCGTACGCTAGATTTGGCGTGCTGTTAAATGGGCGCGTATGATCAATAATTTGACTCTGCAGCTGCATATCTGCTTGACATACATCTCAAGCCAAAACATTCTACATAGATACATCATTGATTTACACCTACTAATATTTTATATTCCTGACGCCAACCTGTCAAATCATTATTATTTATTATATTTTGCTTTCATCGCTGCATTAGTAATTGAATAATTACAAATTTCTGTTTGTAATTACAGATTTAAGTTAAATGCACTAAGAGATGCTGACAAAGAAAAATTTAACAAAAGTTTCTTTCCATATGTATCAATAGATTTTGTTAATGATACTCACAGGCCAAAAGATTACATTTAGTGCTATTAGAATTAAGAATAACTGATTTGTTATTTACATAAACCCAGAACCAGCGCCAAGACTCGTATGGCCACACTGGGCAGCAGAATTTAGGACCCAGAGAGATTGCACCAGGTGATAAGATATCTAGAGCCGGCTTTATAAGTCTTGATTGGTTTTGTTTGGTTTATTTAATTATGGCAAAGCACACTAGGGCTATCTGCCTAAGGGGAGGGATGCCTTCGTAGAGGACTTTCTAAGGGGACTGGCTCGTATGCACGTTACACATGGGGAAAACCACGGAAACACCCATGCAGCCAGCCCGTTCGCAGATTCAAAACTCGGACCGAACTACCAGTGTTCAGCGACTTTACCGCTCAGCCGCTGGTGCGCCTTATAAGTCTTGAGTACATATGGGAATTTATTTATTCAGGACTCAGATAAGCCTTAAGCATGTGCAAGAAACAGACGTAACTATAATAAATAACTAAATTAATGCAATTCAAGCTTAATTATTGTCTCAGTGCGAAATAGAAGCAAGATAAAATTTAGCGGAGGAACTTGTTTTTAGTCTTTAATCTCATACACAGCCAAATATGTATAGTGAGCGATAGCTAAATTTTATGATGATAGCCGCGAATTTTAAAGGCCTCGGATATTCCAATTAACAGATTTTGTAAAGAAATGTGGAGAAGTGGTGATAAATGAAGATGATATAAAAGAAGTTTTTCATTTTGATGACAGTACTCCTCAATCATCAATCAGTTAACGGACGGCGAAATATGTAGTATAATTCTAGATCCAGAAAATACTGCTACCGATAGTGAAGAAGTTGACAGAGAAGTTGCTAAAAATGAAAAAATTTTGTTTGACATGTTAGTCAGAATTTTTGATACAGCAATTACAGGACTTGAATAATGTAACTGAACAAGAAATTCTGTCTGTCAATAGAATTAAAGGGAAAGTATTAGCACAAAAAAGGAAACTACTTAAACAATTTACATTGAAAGAAACGTTTAATAAAGTAAGCAAATAAATATTGAGTTCTTTTTTTTTGAGGGGGGGGGGTAAATTTTTATACCCTTTAGATCATAAATGCTTCATTATTTCATAAATCACAATTTCATATTTTGAATTTTATAATTTCTACATGTCATCTTACTAGATTTAAACTAATGATCTAATATCCGGAAAAATCCCAAATCTGGAATACCGAAAGCCCCAACGAGTCCAGATCTCTGACTTTGTACTGTATATTGTGCATCTGCCAACTTTTATGAATTTTTCATAATTTTTATATAAAAACTCTTTTAAGTTTTATGATCTTTTATATGCACAATTCGTTATTTCTGTAGCAATTTTTTTGTGAAGGTGCTAAAAAATTATGTCAATTTGTCTCCAAATCTATATTTAAAATATGTAACTTTTGGCAGACTTTCAGATTAGTGTTTGAATTCATTCTTCCTCTTTATTGCATCAAAAATAAGCTCCTCGAATTTTAGAATATGAATTTTTCTGTTGTATATCTTTAAATTTGTTGATTTGTCAACATTTTGATGATTTTTAGATCATTTTTTCATGAAAAATTTTGATTTAGAAGGTTTTCAAATTTCATGACTGTTTTTACAGTCAATAAAGTAATAAGTAGTGACTGTTTTTATAGTCAATTACGTGATAAATGACTGTTTTTCATGACTGTTTTTATAGTCAATAAAGTGATAAGTAGTGACTGTTTTTATAGTCAATAAAGTGATAAATGACTGTTTTTAAATAATTTAAAAAAGTGATAAGTATTTTAAAGTGATAAGTATTTTAAAGCACAATCTTCAAATTACTTTTTAACAGAGCTATTGTTTTTAAAATCAATTTCATACATTCAATTTTGCTTTTATTATTGTGTGTTAGTCCCTTAGAATTACAAACTAGTAATAAAAATGGAGTAATTTTAAAGTATCAGCTTCCCCCCCCCCCACTGTATGCTTTTTTCTTAGATTTTTTCCAAAATGTTTCTGGTTTATAAAAATAAACTGGCAGGTATGATATTTATTTGCATCACTGAATTTTCTTTTTCTTCAAAGTTTGTTTTGCAACAAAAGAGGAATGAGAGTTGTCTTACAGATGCCATTGACGTAAGGCACATCTTGTTTCCAGGAAGTTTTTTCTTTCCCTTATAAAAAAATATTGCTGTGACATTGTTTTTATATACTAATTTAAAACCTTGTTATAACGTAAAATTCACTTATTAAGTTTTAAAATAGATCTAAAAAGACAACGTCTCTCAATGTTTTCCATCACGCGAGTTTGGCAGCACTGGATGCACGGCAGATGTCTATACAGTAGTCTAATTCATCCCAAGCTTTTGCAAGCCAGGTTCCAGATGGCCAGTCCATCATTGAGGAATGCGATTGTTAAAGAATTCTTGAACATCCAAGCTTCAGCAGTTGGTGGTTGTGGCTTGTCATGCTGGAAAGTAAGGTTATCCAAATCAGTTTCTAACTGTGGTAAAAACTAGATTTCAGGCATAACAAGATATGTGATTCTTATAAATATGGCCTTGTGGCCTTCTTGAAAAAAAAAAGGGACATACACTTTTCCCAAGAAGTGCAAAAAAACATGAAGTTCTAGCAAATCTTTTTCATGCTGTGCAGTTTGATGTAGCCGCTCCATACTCTACATTCTAAGACTGTGGTGGTTGATCTTGTCACTTAGATAAAAAGTAGCCTCTTCACTAAACATGAAGCATAAAGAATAAAGTCACAAAATTCCACGTGTCTTTCTTTGTCACCTACATGAAGAGCTTGCAGCAATTGAATCCTGTATGGTTTAATAGACAAATGCCCTCACAAAGCACGTCAGACAGATGTTGTAGGAATGTGAAGTTCCGTACTGGTATGGCAAGTGGATTTTTGTGGACTATGTGCAAAATTCAGTTGGATACTCTCCACATTTTCGTCTAACATGTGCAAATGACCAGGTGATTTCCTTTTACACAGATGACTCATATCTTGGAATTGTTTGTACTGTTACGAATTTAGTATTTTGATAGCTAATCTAGGTAGAATTATAATTGTTTTATTTCCCTGTTCAATGCAGCATGAGACATATTTTAAGAGAAAGCTATGCCAGAAAAGTAAAAATATAGGAGCACGTGCATTTAACATTGAATAAATGGATATCTCTTTTATTTGTATTGAAATTAAATAAATGTAATTGACTACTTTGTAGCTGTAACCTTAATTATACTCTTTTGCTTTCCAGAAATCTCAAGATGCAAAGAAATTATCAGAAATTTCTCGCGACCGATTAAAAGCTATAAAAAGCTAGAGAGAGAACATCTCAACTCAATTGCTTAGTTACTCAGTTGTTAATGTGATTTGTTTACTTCCACGTGACCTGCAAATTAGCTTTATCTTTCTCTTTGAACTGTTCTGTGTTTTAACATTTTTAGTAGTTTAAAGTATAGCTGCTAGTTGTATTGCGTTCTACTGATTATTACTGCCTGATATTGTGAACAATTATTATAACTACTGATTATTACTGCCTGATATTGTGAACAATTGTACAGAATCTCTGGGGATAATTTCAGCATTTTCTATATTTCTTGTGATGAGAATAAGTCTTATTTACCTTTTATCGTACTTCTGCATTCAATCTATTATGAACCTGCATGCACTCAACAATACCATCGCCGAATGCTCTGATCAGTAGGTTCTCGAACCCAGAGTACTGTTAACAGAAATCACGTTGAAGAGTTGCTATGGAGTCATAGTTCATGAAGTGTAGAATACGAAATGATTTCTGTTGCAAATCCGCAATGTTTAAGAGGTGAATGCTACAGATGCTGAGGGGGGGGGCAAGGAAGAGCATTAGCGTTACCTGTCACCAACTGCATGAAACTTAAGATTTCCCTCTTTAAATCGATACATTATTCAATCAAAATGGATTAAAAGCGTAATAGTTATGATTTTTCAAAAATCAGATGGTTCTTTTTGAAGCACCTTATATTGTATACATGTAATATTTATGTTTAAATGTGTGTATATAGGGATACATATTATAAAAAACAGAAATGTCTTTCCAAAACAGGTAAGACAAAAAGAACACTGGAAAACTTGAAGGTGATGGCAATTATAATATTGCATTAAATCAAGTATTCAATACATTGTCAATGTGGGATACAACAGATATAGCACTTGTTGATGAGATTTTCAGATTCTAGGCAGTGTATCTAATGCTATTTAATGCAGTATTAGCTGCAGGAAAAGAATTTATTTAAATGATTTTTTAACACATTTATTATCCTACTAAGCCTAATGCTCAAAGTATCTACCTATAATACTTAATCTAATGTTAAGGAGAGTAGAGTGTAGGGAAAGAGAAGACGGAAATCATCTATTAACTTTATTGTTATTTGTATTGACCAGGTCGCTACATTTACAATTTTAATGTCTTTGTCAAGATTTTATCATTTGAGCTGGTTAATGGAATAAGCTTGAAATGCAACAGTATGTATAACTGTTTAGATCAAACATGTTTTTCTAATTTTTTTTTTTTTTTTTTTTTTTTTTTGTAGACAACTGAAATATTGTGAATGAGTGCGATAAATTTCCTTTATGTTTCATAATTTAACTTATACTTTTCTTCAATCATTACATAAATAAATGCTAACGGTATTTCCCCCCTTTTTAGCCTTTCTTTGTAAAAGCCAAAATCAGCATCAGATTTCTTTTGTTAATTGAGAAAAGTAGTAATTCAGATCTTCAGTAAAAATAAAGTGGCATAAAGGGAATTGTGGGAAGTAAAAAGATACCTATATCATGGGAAAATTACTTAAAAACACTGAAAGATCTTGAAAAATTATTAGGAAAATTTTTCGTCTAGAATTGGGAGAGAGATTTTCTATTTCAACTTTCATTGCTTTTCTTTTTTAGGTATTTGAAGAATACTCATACAAAATTCAAGTGGATCATGAAAATTATTTTTAACTTTCAAGTAGAGGCATGAAAACTTATTTCTTAAATTTGCTTATATTAAGTTGAATTTTTATACATAAATGTTAATTAAGTTAAAAATATAATTTAAATATGAAATAATCTGCAGTAGTTGGAAGCAAGTTTATTACTAGTAATGGAAAAGCCTCTGGATTATTCCAAGATTTGACAAACAGAAAATATTGCAGTGCAAATATACACATTTTGTAGAATTTTTCAGAAAAAGGTGAACATTTTGCTGAGCTAGAAAAAATTAAAAACTTGGTTTACCTACATTTGCATAGAAACAAGTGGGAAGTCTGTGAATGTTCAAACTATGTGTATGTATACTCAGACTGAATTAGCTCAATTTAGAATACATACTAAAAATGGAATATGGTCCGTTATTGCAGCTTATATGGTTACTTCCATTACTTTCAAGTCTTTTGACTTAATTATCTTTGTCACATTTGTTTTATACAGTCAAAAGTCTTTAATCCGCACGTCCATAATCCAGAATGATCTATAATCCGGACCTCAAAGCTAAAAACTTTCTGCGCATGCACATGAAACCTTTACGCATGCGTGTTTAATGTGTAACGGACGGTATAAGCTAAGCTAAAATTATCTAATTATCTATTTCAGTTAATGTTGCAGATTGCGTTGTTCCTTAATCTTCTAATTGGATCCGGCTTATTATTTTTTGCAGACTGTTAGAGCAATTTTATAAAAATAAGCTTGAACTTTCGATTATGTCAAAAAGAATTTCCCATTCTGGAGCTGCCAAAGGATCTACAAAGCGAAAGCATGTTTTGATGTCCATCAAACAAAAAGTGGAATTGCTGCCAAAAATATATAAAGGTTGTTTCTCTAACCATTCTGAAATCTGTTTATCAATTTCACGCTGCTCTGCGGTGGGGGGGGGTCGTCGCGGCTCGCAATGAACTGGAAGTTGATCTGTCAGCACTATCCTTATCTTTCAGGGCAGATGTTTTTATTTTATTTGGCTTATAATTCCTTACTAAATGTAGTATTTCATCTCGATGTACTCCGTCTTTGATATGATTTAAATCAAATTCCTCGTCATTATAAATATCACGAATACACATAAAATAGTTTTCTGGTTGCAATTTTCTAATTTTGACTATGCGTAATGTATGCTTTACGCATGCGCACATTGAAAGAAATGTTTAATAAAAGTAAACAAATAAATATTAAGCTTTTTTTTTTGATACGCTTTAGATCATAATTGCTCTTTGTTTTATAAATTACGGTTTCATATTTTTAATTTTATAATTTTTGCATGCCATCTTACCAGATTTAAACTGATGATCTATAATCCGGAAAAACCGATAAACCGGAATGGCCGAAGTTCCAACCAGTCCGGATTAAAGACTTTTGACTGTATTAAAATGTTTAAAATTGAGAAATGCATGCTATACACACATAATATGTCCCATCAGCAGAAATTGTTGAACTAATTTATTTGTTTGCTTTGTATGACCTCAAATGTGAGCTAGCTCATTTATGATCATCAAAGGATTGAGATTTAACATTTTATATTTTTCTTAACATAACTTTTAAATATTTTTCTTAACATAACTTTTAAATATTTTTCTTAACATAACTTTTAAATATTTATGTTTCAAGTACCATGATGTTTTTATTTCTCATTAACATATTATTTATTTCTCATTAACATATTATTTATTTCTTGTGAAAAAATTATTATTTTTGTGTATAAGATGAGATATGTTATTTTTTCATTTGTTTTGAATACTATGATTTAATTCTTAATCAAATTTAGGAACAAAAGGAAAAGGAGAAAAATGAACGAGCTAAAGCTGTTTTTGCAAAATTTTTTTTGAAAGGAGACAGCCATTCTTCTCCGCCAGTTTCTCAGGTAAAATATACATATAATTCAGAAGCATAGCTTGTTGAAAATTCTTCGGCTGTTTCTTGAAAAAAGAAGGAATTTTCAACAAGTTTTTATATTAATTATATTATATAATTTTATTGAATTGTTTAGTTTTGTTTCAGTTTTGATATACATACTTGCAATATTTGTACGGTCCTTAAGAGTCCTTAAAATTCCTTGAGTTTTTGAAATCTATTTTTTGTCCTTAAAAGTCCTTAATTTTGGCCAAAATTGGCAGAAGGTCCTTAATTTTAATCATCTGAAATTTCTGTTTGTTCTCTCATTTTGAGTGTGAATTAGCATTTTGGAGAAATATTTTTGGTGATATGGTTATCTTTTGAATGTGTGAATGCATTCATGGGTTTGGACTATTTAACTTTTACCAGATAACCCTCATAAGTATGTTGACCAGATAACCCTCATAAGTATGTTGTGAAGAGGTTGACAGTTTAGGAGATAAAACATGCAGAAACTAGTGAGAATTTTGATTTTAATAGGGTTCTTTTAACAAATATTGTTAAAATATAAATAAAATTTAATAGCGGCCATGTAAATTCATAATGACTAAGGTTATCTAATAACTAATTTTATTACTGATAACTAACTGCTTACCCTTAAAAATTATCTCTGCATATTAAAGTGAGTTATTGCCTTTCATTAAACCTTACCGTGGACACAAGATAAAACACAGAAATGTAAAAATTCATGTAAAACTTATTCTTCACATCTAGTGAGACTTAATGCAAAACAACTTATCACCTTTGGTGCTTTAGTGGATTATTAGAATCTTAAAGTATATTAACTGAGTTACAAACCCCGGAACTCAATACGAAGCTACGACACTAACTGTATCAGAAAGAGCCCATCTAACTTTCAAAACCTGCCAGCCGTGCTTACATCACGCCTTACAGGTTTGTTCTGATAATCAGGTCTCTATCTAGGCAAGCAGGATTGGTGACAACAGCCAGTCTTGTTTTGAATCATGCTGATTATGATTTTACTTCTTATTTTAACCTATGCTGCTTGACTTAAAATCTGCTATTTACTACACCTTTAGACTGAGCAAATATGTGACAATTAATTTAGAAGTCAACAATCTTAATAAATCTAACTGTTAGTAAAACCTAAATAAAATGTCACTTATCTTCTTTCAAATATGTCCAATTATTATAAGTATAAAATATTTAATGCTACTTGATGAATTTTGTAAAGTTTATTTTATTCTCAAAGTTAATAGTTATGTTTAATAATAATTTATCCTACTTACGGATCTATTTTATTTTTAAGATAGTACAAAAGTGAAGTTCAGGCATAGATAATATTTTTAATTGAATTTATTCAGTTCTCATTTGCTCATAGGTCCTTAATTTTTTCCATTAATGGCTCTTAAAAGTACTTCATTTCCGTGTGCAGAAACGTGTACGAAACTTCCTGTTAACCCTTTTTTTTTATTAAATTATTCTCTTGAATGTTTAATTAATTTTGCAGCATATACTATGCAACTTTAATGATTTGTAATCTTAATTTGAAATTTCTAAACTTTTGCTTAGATATGTATAAATAATGTTGTAGCTTTGGCAGAAAATGAAACCAGTTCAGTTATCAGTCATGACAAAATGTCATAGAGAGATGTAACTCACACATAAATAAGAAAGCTTGAAGATGCTGCATAGGTAGAAAGGTGGAGTTGCAGACAATGTGCTGAGTTCAATACATAATTTTATTATCAGCCAAAACAATTCTTGAAACACAATGTATGCTTCATGCATGATTACAGGTGCAGTAGCCATCCCACATTTTGCATACACATTTATATTTTAGAACAATGAAAGAATGCAATTATGCAAAGAGATGTTATATAGCAAGCAAGCTTAAGTGGCAAATTTTTTATTGGTTATTCTGACTATTTCAGTCTTTTTTTTAATTCTTTATATAGGTTTTGAGCTATTTATTATTATTACCTTTTATGAGAGCGTTGCAATAAAATTCTGACTTTCGGTGATATATATGTAAGTTTTAATTTCAAAACGATAGAGTATGAATATTGCATTGTTAAATGCTTTTATTTTACTGATAAGAATTAGGTAAAAGTAATAAAGGTTAAGTACAAATTAATGGGAATGAATTATCAGTCCACAGGATTCATATAATGATGAAGAATTCACACACACTGTTAGTTCCTCCGGCGTTGAAAGAATACGTTAAGTTCTTAATGTCCACAGCTAGCTTTAAATAGTATGATCAGCTAAAGGCAATTAATTACCAAAGAAGACAATCTGTCTTCTTCAACTCTTGAAGACATACAAGCCATCCACTCGCATCTCCTACTCTCCACTCTCGACCACGTCTGGACGCTATCTGACGCTGTCTGGAATGATTCGCACTGAGCTATGCTGGGATGACGTCCACGCTGGTATTCTAATTCAGCATCGGTCGTCGATGATCTCCACAGCTTCAGTCAGCCTGAAGTTGCATTGTCCTCGATGTCTGTTGAGTGGACGTCAAAGAAAAAAAAAAAAAAAAAAAAGAGAGTATCAGATCCTTAGGTTTGAGCTGATACAAACATCAGTCAATTTGACCATGGCTTCATATGGTCAGCCGCAGTTGATGTCAAATTCGGTCCTTCATGGCATCCTACTTTTTCGACTTCATATCTGTCATTTGATCTAACAGCTGTGATTTTATACGGTCCATGAAAATTAGGTTGTAGTTTCAAACCAGTCCCATACTGAGTTCTCTGAATGGCTACCAAGTCGCCAATCTTGTATAGTTTCGGTTTCTTATGTCTTTTGTTAAACTGTTTACGATTCTCTTCTTGTATCTTCAAAATGTTGCTTTTCGCATCTTCTCTCATTTCATCACGTTCTTGCATCAACTGCTTTAGATATTCTTCATTCAATATCTCACTAATTCTCAGATCTTCCTTGTTCTTCATTTTCGTGCCTATGAGAAGCTCAAACGGTGAATATTTTGTACCTCTCGTAGTTGTGCTGTTGATTATTCTCTGGCCATCTGGAACATACTTAAACCATTTTGTTGAATCCTCATGTGATAATTTTGACAAAACAGGAATCAAAATTCTATGGATTCGCTCAATCTGTCCGTTACCTCTTGGAATACCAGTAGTAATTGTAACATGTTCTATACCTTCTTCAGTACAATAAGCTGAAAATTCTTTTGATGTAAAGGCACTACCTCAATCTGAAATAATTCTGGCTGGATTTCCAAATACAGTCTGTTTTTGCTTCAATTTCAAAATAACTTCTTGCATAGTTGGTGATTTCACTGGATAGAACCAAGTAAATTTCGTAAAAGCCTCGACCGCAATTAGAATGTGTTGGTATCTCTTGTTCGTCGATGGAAGAGGTCCAATAAAGTCGACATGGTATGTACTCAAGGGAACGTTTTCTTTCGGTACAGGATGAAGAAATCCTTCTGCTTTTCCTTGGTTCTTGTTGTACAGTATACATTCTATACAGTTAGCAATTACTCTTTCAACTTTGCATTTCAGTCTGGGAATATAGAATTCTTGCTCTACAGCATTCACAGTTTTATCTACAGCAAAGTGACCTTTTTTATGTACCTTCTGTATGACTTCGTTCTGTAAGGATTCTGGCACTACTAGCAGATCTTTACCATTTTCAAATTTGTACAAAATATCATTTCTCAGGAAGAATCCAATTTCTTCTCCTTTCTCAACTAAATTCTTTATCAATTTCACATGCTCATCTTCGTTCTGTTGTTGTGCTAACCGAATCTTCTCAGTTACATCGGATGTGTATAATGTTAAAATTAAAGCATTTCTACTTAGAGCATCAGCATGTTTCATTTGGCTTCCTGAACGATGTACAATTTCGTAATCGAATTCTTCAATAAACATTGCCCATCTTGCAATTTTGGGAGTTAAATCTTTCTTATCTAAAGTTTTCTGAAAAGCACTACAATCAGTTACAATTTTGGATTTAATCCCTAACAAATAGTTTCTAAACTTCTTCAGAGTTTCTATAACTGCAAGGGCTTCTAATTCGTAACTACAGAGTTTCTCCTGCTGCGGTGAAGTCTTCTTACTCATATACTGGATTGGGTGATAATTACCATCATCAGACAATTGGAGTAGAACCGCACCAAAGCCTTGACTACTAGCATCAGTATGAAGTTCTAATGGATATCCTTGCCTAAATATATGTAGAACAGGTGCCTGAGAGAGCATTTCTTTTAATCTGCAAAAAGCTTCCTGTTGTTCGGAATCGAACTTAAAACCAGTACCCTTTCTAAGTAAGTCGCTAAGAGGTTTAGCTATTTTAGCATACTGAGGAAAGAATTTACGAAAATATCCCGTAAGTCCTAAAAAGCTTTGTAGTTGTTTACAGTTACGCGGTTGGGAAAGTTTTGAATAGCAACAGTTTTGGAAGGTGATGGTCGAATAGTTCCGTTTTCAATTACATGTCCTAAAAATTCAATTTTACGTTTTAAGAATTGGCCCTTTTTGAAATTTATTTGTAATCCATATTCCGAATCAGTTTTGAATACTCTTTCTAATTTGTCTAAACATTCAGCTTCATCATTAGCCGGTATGACTATATCATCTATATAAATAATTAGTACACCTTCATTTAGCAAGTCACGAAATACTGAATAAATATACCTTTGAAAAACATTTGGACTAATACATAAATCAAAAGGAGCTTTAAGAAATTCATAAATACCATTATGTGTTACAAACGCTGTGTATTTTGTGCAGTTTTCATCTATGTCTACATGGAAAAAGCTATTTTTCAAATCTAGTGTCGTGAAGACCTTTGATTGTTCTAAACGATCAAGTATTTCCGGAATTAAAGGCAGTGGAAATTTGTCTTTAATAATCTTCTTATTTAATTTCCGATAGTCAATGCATAATCTTTTAGAATTATCTCGCTTGCTACACAAAACAATAATTAGAATAATAGGTGCCGCAATAATTAGAATTGCTAGGTTTTATTATTTTT